GAGCATAGCCGGGCGGGCGTGTCGTTGGCCGGATTGCGGTCTCTTGGCCTGCCTGCTGCCTGCGGCCCGCGGCCCGCAGCCGGGCTTTCCTCATAGCCAATGGACTGCCCCCGATGCGTGGCGGGCAACGTCCCCCCCCCCCCCCCCGCCCGCAGGGGGGACATTTCCCAGCACACGCGCCGCTTGCGAGCTGCTCCCCCCCCCTCCCCATCGGGGCGCTGTGCCCCGCCCCGCCCCCCCCGCTTCACGGAGAGGAAACGGCCAGGACAGTGGCAAAAAAGAATGGAGGCGGAGGGTATCGATCCCCCTGCCTGCCGCATGCTAAGCGGCCGCTCTACCATTTGAGCTACGCCCCCGTTGATAGATGTGCTCCTCGATGGCTATTTATAAAAATTCCCCCTCGCACCCTGCCACCATCTTCTCGCCCCCCCCGGCCAATGTGTGGACGGTGTGATGGCCACTGGGAGATCTCGTCCGTACCTCCTGTTCTCCGACTCGGCCTGTGTAAGCGAGCTGGTTTGCCTTTCTGCCTGCCACCTGCGCAGGAACACTCCCCTGCCCCTCTCCTCTCTCGCTCTCTCCTCTCTCTGGCTCTCTCTCACACACGCTATCCCCTGTCAGCCAGGCACATTGCTCGCCATCCAGCCAACACCATGGGCACACCCGCATGCAAAGGCCCGCTCCTCCCCGGGTGCAGAGCAAGGGTGTAGGACAGGGGCCTCAGTCAGCGTGTGCCAACCCACATACACCCACATACACCCACACATCCACACACCCACACACAGACACAGACACAGACACACACACACACACAGACACAGACACAGACACAGACACAGACACAGACACACACACACACACACACACACACACACACACACACACACACACACACACCAATACACCAATACACCAATACACCGATTTGGACGAAATTTGGGTTCTATAGGAGCACAGGAAACCCTTTCAGCGCTGCGATGAGAACCAGGCTAGCTGCAAATTCAGGAACAGCGAACCCAGAAGGAGAGACACCTCGGCCGGGAAGAAGGGCAGGAGGGTGCCGGCCATGGCCAAGCCAGTCACCCGGCGCAGGAAGGACACATCCGGAGTCTCGAGGATCTTCCTGTAGCCGGCAAGCAGGAACAGCCGGTCCAGATGCGCCGGGGAAAAGAGCAGCTCCCGGACCGGCACCACCAGCGGCGAGTGCACCCCGGCAAAGGTGGCCCGGTACAGGCGCCCGGCCGCCGAGTATTTCGGCCCCGGGCCAGGACCACTCGCCGGCTCCACGGTCAGGAGGGACCCCCGAGTGAGGATCCCTCTCACGGTCTCCATGGCATAGGAGGGGGTCTCCTTGCGAGGCGTGCGCACGGTCCGCGTCAGGTCAAACTGGCCGACGTCGCTCTCGGGCCAGATGCTACGCGCAACCAATGCACAGCCGGTCGCCACCATGAACCCCGTCAGGCGCCTCTCCGTCTGATGCACCTGCTCCGTGGCATAGCTGGCAGCATTCTCCACCGGCAGGCATTCCTCCTGCTGCTGGCAGAAGAGACAAATGGACCGGCCGGCCGGCCGGCCCTCACCACCCACCGGGACACCCCCCGAGCCTGGCCCGACCGGGCCCAGCTTCGCAGCGCACAGGTGGAAGTGCACCTGGCACAGGGAACACTGCGTGGTCGGTGGCAAAGCCTGGGCCGTGCTCGAGGCGGTCGCCGCGTCGGCTTCCTCCATCTTGTCATCATCCGTGTCTTCGTCATCTTCGCCATGGATGTCCGGCACCGGAGAACAGACACACACCACCTGCGAGAAGGCCAGCAAGCCCCCCAGGACAGGCAAGTTGTCGGATGACTTGGGCAAGGTCTTGGCCCCGGGTTTGGCCCCCGGCGGCTCGGTGCCCCCCTCGGACTCGGCATTCACCTCGACAAGAGGCTCGAAGCCGAAGACCGACCGGAAGGTCGTGATGGCGCGACACGCCTGCCACTGCAGATAGGCCAACAGGCAAAAGCGCTCAGCATGCGTGATCCCCGGGTAGGGGCCGAATACCGGCGGCAGCCCAGGCTCCGGGGCCTCCCCCTCGGCCGGTGTGTCGGCGGCGTCGGCCTCGGCCGCCGCGCTGGACTGCCGCTCGACGGCCCAGGCCAGCAGCTCCGGCGTCACGCGCAAGCCACCCTCGGCCACTGCCGAGGCAGAGCCGGCGCCGGTTGTCTGGCCGGAGCCCGGTGGCGCCTTGGCAGCCGGACCGGTGGCCGGCCGGGCGAACAACAAATCCCGGCACAGCCCCAGCCACCAGCCAATCTGCTTCGGCGCACTGGCCATCTCTTGGGAAATGACAATGTCCCCCACCAGCGGCGATCGGGGATATTGCTCCGGCGCCAGGAGCATGGCGCTGGCCTGGGCAAAGAGATCTTCCACCGCACCGGCCGGGCCAAGGAAGTGCCGATACAGCAGCCGGACCATCGAGTCGGCGCTGCCAAACTGATGGAGCAGCCCCACCGGATCGGCCGCCAGTTCGGCCGCCAGCTTCATGCGCATTTCCATCGCCTGGCTCGCCTGCGGACCGAACATCTCGAATGCGCTGTTCATCGGGAAAATGTACTGCTCCGGCTGCTGGTCGGCCAGGTAGGGCGCCAGGGCCACCACCGGCTCCCAGGTATCCTCGATGGCCGTGTACGCGCCAAGCAGCGTATCCAACATATCCGGACTCACTGGCAGACTGTAGGCCGTGTCGATGAAGTGGATGAAGCGCCCCGCCGAGAAGGACAACGGCGACCAGTCCCGATTGTAGGCCGGCTGGTCGGAGTGATCGACACGCAGGCGCCCCGGCACCGGCAGCCGGTGCTCCTGATACAGGCACAACAGGGCCGGGATGGCGCGCTGGCACTCGGCCTCCCACTGCCCGGCATCCCGGAGCAGCCCCTCCAGCAGATGGGCCTCCTCCAGAGTGAGGCGATTCTGCCGGATGTGCGTCGCGGCCAGGGGGTAGTGCGAGGCCAGCAGCTCGGCCGACAGGAGCTCCGAGCAGTAGATGTCCAGCAACTGCAGCAGACGCCGCAGACGCGAGGAGCTCGGCAATGGCGGCGCCTTCAGCACCCGATAGATGGTGGCGTACCAGCGATAAATGCGGAACCAAAAGACCAGCCGGTCCATCGATACGTGCGACAGCCGAAGGAGAACGCCCTCCTCGTAGAGGACCTGCGCGGCTTCCAGCACCCCTGGGCGTTTTGTCGGTGGCAGGATGTCCGCCACCGAGATGATGCGACCGACCAATGGCCCGGCCGTTGTTTGCACCGGGCTCGGGATGTCACTCAAGGCCGCCGCCTGTCGGGGATCCGACGCGGGCTGTGTCAGCCCCGGCGAGAAGTCCATGCGTGCTGTGTGGACAAAGGTGTCGGCCTTGGCGATGAACCTGGTTTCCGAAGGGTCAGTCATGTGCCGTGGATACACCGGCGACGTGGCCAGCAGGGATTTGTGCAAACACATAAATATGTGTGTGTGCGTGTGGGGGGGGGGGGGGGAG